TCAGTTAATCCCACTTGTGTTTATCGGCCAGGCTGGCACAATAAACTATCTCAATCCCTTTCTGCAGAAAGTCGACGCACCTTTTCTCCAGGTGTTTTGGTGACCCCTGGGGTGGGGGTGGGGGTGGGGTCTACACCCCTGAATTGGTGGAAGACATGGGTGCTGGTGGGGCTCCGGAGCTCTGTGCTGGGACCCTGGCTGCATCTGGTTTGCTGAAATACAGCAGTGATCCCCGGCAGAGCCCTGTAGGCACAGTGGTGGTGCGTTTGGGCTGCTAACCACAAGCCCAGCAGTTTAAAGCCACCCGCCCCTCAAGGGAGAAAGATGAGGCTTTCTGTTCCAGTACAGTTACCATCTTGAAAACGCCCAGGGAGAGTTCTACCCGGTCCCACAGGGTCGCTGTGAGGTGGTGTCACCTCTGTGGCAGAGAAAGCACTACCTACAGCCATTGGTTCTGATGGGGGCCAGGGTGGGGGTGGGAGCCAGCAAGTCAGAGGTGAGCGGGGTGCTAGGGGCCCCCCAAGCTGGTGCTGCCATCCAGTGGGGCAGAGGGAACCTGGCATTTGGAGCCAGCAGGTCAGAATTGAGAGGTCATGGGCACCCCTCCTCTTGACCTGATGCCTGAGGTTCTGGGCCCACCTGGCGGCTGGTCCTTCTCCTGTGAACTCTGACCTCACTGTGTGCATGGTCAGGACAAAGGATGGGCTGCCCCTCCAAGTCTGGGGTCCTTAGATTTCCAGCCAGATGTCCTGGGGTGGGGGTGGGGTTCTGGTCAGAGGGCCGGGTGGGTGCAGGAGCTGGCTAGAGGAGGGGCAAGGTCCCGATTAGCACGAGAGGGCTCCACAGCCCCTCAAAGGTCAGTGTCACACAGCAGAGGCGTGGGGCGGGCGGAACCCTGGTGACACACCTCAGAAGTGCCCCGTCCCCAGGGGGAAGCCACCTCCTGGCTAGGCACCTCTGAAATGGTGAATGTGAACCCACCTTGAGTCAGCAAGGAGCCCCATCCTGGGCCCTTACAATGCCCCCCTGGCCTGTAGGTGCAGAGGGGGAGGCCCCCAGGTCCAGGGAGGAGGCACAGACCTCAACCCCTGAGTCACAGAGCTGGGGTCCCCCAGAGGTGGAGGGTCTTGATTGCCATCCACCCACCTGCAACTCACCCTCACACTGTAGGGTCTCACAGCCCAGGTGCGCAAGCCAGAGCCAAGGTTGGGGGTTGGGGGATGCTTCTGCCAGAGTCGGGGTAGTGGGCTCAGCAGGCAGGCCACATCCCCCAGGCCAGGGAGGCTCCAGAAGCCCCCTCCCCCCCTCAGCCAGAGGACACTGGGCAGTGCCTGGGGACATTTTTGGTGTCAAACTGGGAAGGAGGGAACTGGTGGCCTCGGGGTCAGTGAACAAACATTGTGGGTGCTGCGTACAGGATGGGGACCCCTGCCAGCCTCCCCCACTCCCCAAGGTAACAAGAAGCCAGTGCACAGTGGGGCTTTACCAAATTTTATTTCTAGACTTTTCCACGTTCTGCCCTTTGCTTTCCCGCAAGGTGCCGGTTGGTTACATGACCACGGAAGGAAGGAAGCAGCCCCCCGCCCCGCGACAGAGACACGCCCAGACCCTCCCAGACATGGGGTCGCTGGAGTCCCTCGGGGTCTGTTCCGTTGAGAGAAGTCGCAGCTGGAGGTAAAGCGTAAGCAGTGTTCCTGGAGCAGGTGGGGGTGCAGCCAGGGGTCGGGGGTCGGGCAGGGTCCCGGCCTCGGCCCAGAGGCACACCACCCACCAATTTGGTGTGGGGCCCCCCTTCCCTGGAAGGATGGACGGACAGATGGCAGTCAGCTGGCTTCATCGGGATTCGGGGTCTCCTTCATGAGCATCTGTCATGCTGGGACCAACAAGGCAGCCCTAGTACATCCAACAGACCAGACAGGAGCCCCCAGCCCAACCCAACGGCCCCTCGAGACACAGAGCAGCCTTGTGGAAGACCCGCCGTGACACTCAACCCCGGTCCGATGAAGAGTCGGAAGGACAGGTGCGTGGGGGCGGGGACCTGGGCTCGGCTGGCCCAGGCGGCCCTTGCCAGCCCCCACCTGGGCTACACATGGCTAAGTGAAGCATGAGGTACTATGAACAGGAACCTCTCTCTCTCTCTCTCTCTTTTTTGGGCTTGAGCAGTAATCACATATTGATCACATTAAAAAAAAAAAAACCTACCAAAAAATTAATAACAAAGAGGCATCCGTGATACAATTTTCTATGAGAAAATTAAAACCCGAGCACACTATGACATTGTAAAACCAGACAACTGATTCTCGAATAGCAGCAAAACAACGTGGGGCACACAGAGAAGCAATGGATTTGTTTCAGACCCACCCGCGCCGGGACACTGGGAGGCACTCCGTAGCAGCACAGCGAGAAGGCATGGCCACACGCGGCCAGCACCCACAGGGCGGCCCACCTAACTTCCTCCAGCCCAGCCTCAGCCTGGGCAGTCCTGCCCCCTCCTTCTGCAGGGACCACAAGGTAGGGTCGTCAAGGTGGGCACATTGTCCACGGCCACTCAACTTCCCCTGGACACCAGGCTGGGCGGGGGGTGGGTACTCGCCTCAAGCTATGCCAGCTCCCCCCACAACCCATATACCTCTCACGAGCCACCGATTTGAGAAAGCCATGCCACACCGGCAAAACCAACACCCGGGCACCCTTTCTTTTTCTCCATCCGGGGAGAGAAGCGGTTTTCAGAACCGGCCCGACTTCTGCCCCACCTGAGGCAGGCTCCCTCACGCACCTGTCTTCAGTCAGGGGCCGATTGCAACCCTTTGTAAATCCGACTGGCCTGTGAGCGCCCTCTGCAATAAATAGTCTTTTTGGTCTCCCCCCACCCCACCTGCGCCTTCACGAGAAATGACATCTTTTAGTGTTTAAACGCCGTCAGCTGTGACGCGTCTGAAGAACATCTTAAAAGGATGTGATTTCCAGGCCACCCTGTCGGGGCTCCAAACACCATTCGACCACCAGGACTTCACACTTCGTCTTTTCTACGGACAAGGCCTGGCACCCGATGCCACTCTCTCTCTGTCTCTCAATCTCTCTCTTGACCATAGCCTTCCAAAGTACCCCCCTCCACCCTCACCACCCTCCTGACAAGCACTTCCTCTCTGATCCTGTTTGCACGTAAGTCTGTCCAAACCCGTCCACTACAAATATCTCCAAACCAATCCACTAAAAGAAAGAAAGCCAGAGAGAGAAAAAAGTGGCCGCCTCCCCGCACAGGAAACCCCACAACTGGGCCTACAACTACCGGACTGAAAGTGCTCTGACGTGGGAAAGGTGGAGACTCTCAGGGAGGGAGAGAGGGAACATGGAACCAGACAAACCAAAAACAACCCCCCCTCAAAAAGAAAAAGAACAGTGGCTCTGGATCATTAATGACAGAAGGCCTTCTGTCAGGCGGCGGCGAGAAAAACAAAACAAAACAGAACTCCAAACCAGCGTTTGTGTCTTCAGGAGGTGAGCTACAAAAATAGGAAGATTATAAAAATAGAATATATTATGTCACGATTTTGTCTTCGCCGATGGGGTGGGGGGCATATGGGAGGGCGGGCCCGAGGATGGAGGTGAGGGTGTGGTGCCGTGCCTGCCCAGGAGCCAAGATAGAACGCGTACAAATGCCCGTAAAGTGACTGCATGCGAGCGAGCGAGCGGACGCGGGAGGGCTGTGACTGTCTTGTTTGGAGAAGGAGAGGATGGAGGGTCGCCTACCTGCAGCTAAGCTCTCTTCTACCTAACAACGGCCAGCGGCCAGCAGCCAACGGGCCTCCTCGGATTTTTGTTTTTCAAAGGTTGTTCCCCACCCCGTCCCCCACCCCCGCCCTTTCCCCATTTGTCTTTTTATTTTTTTCAACACGTGAAGAATCTAACTTCACCCTCCCCGTATACAATTCCGGTGTGTTATTAATGCCTATTCTTATAACGCAGACGCACAAACCCATGAATATAAAAACTAGTTGATTACTGGGGTGTAAAATCTATCCTGGGTACACAAACCCCCTCCCCCGAAGCAGGGTTATGCAAATAACTACGTTCTCCCCACCCCCCCTCCCGCCCTCTCTTTTTCTCTCTCTCTCTTTTTCAAAGGCAGTGGTGGGGGAGATATATATATATATATTTTTTCTCCTTTGTCGTAAGTAGGTCATAGAGGCAAGGAGAAAAACCATAAGGCTGGGGGCGGGGGCTCGACTTAAAAAAAAGAGAGAGAGAGACACGGCAGTTTCCTTCAGGCAGCGGAATGTTCTGGAAGGCGCCGTGCCGTCAGGGAGCACGGTGCCTTGTCCCTGGTGGGGTGCTGGCCGCTGCCCAGCCTGTCCCCGGGGTGGCAGTGGGTGGGGGCCGCCCTGCGCCCTCAAATGTTCACATCTCGCACGTCGGTGGGGGTGCAGGACAGGTCCACCTCCTCCTCCTCTTCCTCCTCCTCTTCCGAAACCTTGGGGTCCATCCCCTGCTGCTGGGCCTGACGCAGGCTGGACTCCAGCAGGGATTCGATCTGCTCCTGGCAGGCCCGGAGGCAGTCCTGCGAGAGGGACAGTGGTCTCAGAGAGGTCCAGGAGGGTCCTCTCCCGAGGTCTCTAGACAGGTCCCCCAAATCCAGTATTGTCCGCCCCTCACCCCAGTGCCTCACTGCCAGGCCTGCAACGGTACCCGGGGCTCCAAATCTCCAACTGCCCCCACGCTGGCACCAAGATACACAGGGTCTGTAGCGTGACCCCCACTAGGCGCTCTGCGGAAGAAAGATGCTAAGGGTTTACAGTCTCGGAAAGCGACAGAGCAGCTCTGCCCTGTCCTGTAGGCGCCCTCCCAGGCCCAGTCGACTGGGTGGCAGTGAGCTTGGCTTCGGTGTTTGGAATCTTTATAGAAGCCCACCGGCAGGCCTGGCTCCTGAGGGTGGGTTCGAACTGCTGACCTAGCCTTGACAGCTGAGAGCTTAGCCTCTGCCCACTAGGCCTTCTGCCAGTGGAATCCCAGTTTATCACCCCGCGCCCCCCATACCCACCCCACCCGCACTGATGCCGATTGGG